GCAGTGTTTGGTTTTCTGTTGTGCCAGTTTGCTGAGAATGATGGTTTCTAGATTCATCCATGTCCCTGAAGAGTATATGAACTCTTCCTTTTTTATGGCTACATAGTATTCCATGGTGTAAATGTGCCACATTTTCTTTATCCAGTCTATCATTGATGGGCATTTGGGTTGGTTTCAAGTCTTTGCTTTGTGAACAGTGTGGCAGTAAACATACATGTGCACGTGTCTTTATAATAGAATGATTTAGAATCCTTTGGGTATATACCTAGTAATGGGATTGCTGGGTCAAATGGTATTTCTATTTCTAGATCCTTGAGGAATCGCCACATTGTCTTCCACAATGGTTGAATTAATTTACACCCCCACCATCAATGTAAAAGCATTCCTATTTCTCCACATCCTCTCCAGCATCTGTTGTCTACTGATTTTTTAATGATCACCATTCTAACTGGCATGAGGTGGTATCTCATCGTGGTTTTGATTTGCGTTTCTCTAATGACCAGTGATGATGAGCTTTTTTTCATGTTTGTTGGCTGCATAAATGTATTCTTTTGAAAAGTATCTGTTCATATTTTTGGCCCACTTTTTGATGGGGTTGTTTGTTTTCTTGAAAATTTGTTTATGTTTTCTGTAAAACTGGATATTAACCCTTTGTCAGATGGGTATATTGCAAATATTTTTTCCCATTCTGTTGGTTGCTGGCTTACTGTATTGATAGTTTCTTTTGCTGTACAGAAGCTCTTCAGTTGAATTAGATCCCATTTGTCTATATTGGCTTTTGTTGCCATTGCTTTTGGTGTTTTAGTCATGAAGTCCTTGCCCATTCCTATGTCCAGAAACCTAGTTTTGATGTATCAAGGGAATCTCAATTTGGCCATTGCAGTTCTAAGGTATCTTTTGTATATAATTTCCACTGTTCCAAATAAATACAAGAGGAAGACCCATAAGTTTTAGACATATTACTAGCTGAAGTCTCAGAAGAAGGAAAATCATTATAAGGTTTAGAATTAAAGAATGTCACCCTTAAGATAATAATACTCACCAATAGGAAAACTCACATTTTGTTTGCATAAATGGAACAACCATCCCTAAATTCCCAAATAAGGGTGTTGACCTCAACCAAAGGGAGGGAAGTAGGAGCCTGAGAAGAATTGTGAAAGAGGGTGCCTGCAATCCAAGGAAGTGGAGAGGACAAGGGGCTCTTTTCCAAAAAACGCCAATCTACTGTAACATAAGATCATTTTGAGTTTCACTTCTGACATCAGCTATGGGAACTCTGACACGGAGGTCAAAGGAAATAGCATTTATTTTGGAACCAAAGAAGTGCAACTCAGATACATGGAATCAGGGAAGCCCTGAATAGTGTCTGTAAGGCAAGCACAGGAGAGGATTTTTTTACAAGGGATTTCCACAAAAACTTGGTTTTGGTTTAGTTCATTGGCTACTCAGAAATTCTATATCCTAAATAAACCCATTTCGACTAGTTAATTAATTAGAGTACTCCTAGCTGAGAGATGTGTCAAAAACCTGATACTGACTTCTGTTGTTTATCCAAGTCTATTGGAACACTCCGTAGCTGAGAGAAGTCAAAAAACCTGATACTGACTTCTGTTGTTTATCCAAGTCTATTGGAACATTCTGTGGTTGACCTTTAGCAGGTGTGAGTGTGCATTCCTCTCAAAAGGATTTCTTGACTCCTCTTTAAAAAGGTTTAGTCTTACTTCATTTTCTTTCACAATCCCATTCTTTAATTATTGGAGGGAAGTTACTGATTAGTTTCTTGGGCCTTCAGAATGAATCTTCTAATTTGACTTTGGAGCAATCAGTTTTTCCCACGTACATGTGGTTTAAGCAATTATTCCCTGGCTGACTGTGTTAAGAATTTATGCCTTGTCTTTAGTCAAGGTTTGAGATAGGATGACAAAGGATTGTATTTAGGCTATGCACCACTTGCCTAACAAATATTTTTCCTAGTTTGTTTTTTACATGCTAAAAAGATTAATGTATCTAAGTACACAGTTTTTCATTTTTATGTTTCAAAATCTATAAACAGTTTTTTAATGTGTTCATTTCCTTTATTTATAAACTTCCAAATTCTCTCATCAAAGGGTAAAATATATCTTATTTTATATTTACTTCTTATTTGGAAGTTTTCTGAATTTTTCCATTCAACTCCTTAATCCATCTGGAATTAAAATTGGCACGTGGTATAAGATTAAAATCTCAGACGATTTTTAAAAGAATTAATGCATAACATTATTTGTTGAATAATTCTTTCCCTCATCCCTGACGTGTGGCTATGCAATCCTTTGCATTTTCTATAACGGGAGGGCACATGGGAGAAAAATTTTAGATTCTCCCAGAATGCCAGAGCAAGAATGTGTCTTAGAGATTGCATCTAAGCCCATTCTTTATCAAATGGAGAAACCAAGGCCCAGAACAGGTAACTGGCTTGCCAAATGTCATGCTAGTTAGTGGTGGAGTCAAGTCTCAAACTAAGATTTTTCTGATGTCCAATTTGGATTTGAGGCTGTATTCCTTTTATCTTATCCAGTTTCTGGGGCAACTTGACAACTTAAGGTTAATTAACCAGCCACAGAGGAAGACAATACCCCCAAGTAGAGAATTCTGAAAGGACCATTTCAGCTTGTCTCTATCCCCCTACACAGCTCTTGATCATAAACATGGTCAGACTGAGAAGTGGGTGCCACAGTCTCTAGATATAAGAGGATCAAAGCTGGGGGGAAATGCTAACTATGAAATGGGTCCATGACTTAAGCATCTTTACATGTGATATATTGACTACAAAAATTGTATAGCTGAAGCAATCAGAAAGGATCAAAGTGGGTGGGCTTTTCTCAGGAAAGAAGGAAGGATAATTTAAGGTGGATTTCAAAAGATAGGCAGAAGACCCCTGAATTGGGAGCACAGTTTTCACTTTGCTCTCCTCAAAACACTCTTGTTGTCTGAGAGCTTCCTTTGTGCTCTCTCTCTCTCTGAAATAAGGGTCTTATAATAAAGAAAATGCAAGATATTAGGAGGTGGGGACTTTGAAATGTTATTAGATCATGAGGACGTAGCCTTCAAAACTGGGATTAGCACTCTTGAAGTCCAAGAGTAAGTTCTCATCCTTTCCACCATGTGAGGACACAGCAAAACAAGCACCTTCTATGAACCAGAAGCATTTTCTCACCAAACACTGAATTTGCTGGCACCTTGACCTTGGCCTCCTCAGCCTTTAGAACTGTAAGAAATAAATTTCTGTTGTTTTTTAAGCTACCAGGTTATGGTATTTTGTTGTGGCAGCCTGAATGGTCTAATACAGTCCCTTTATCTATCTTTGGTTGACATTTCTTAGTCCTTTGAGTCTTCTTTCACATCCAGTAACTTTGATACTGTCATAAAAAATTAATTACAATTAATACATCTTATGTAAATAGGAAGGAATAGCGGAATGGGAAGGTAGAAGCAAAACGATTAATATAAACACAGATATCTTGATATCAGCATAAGGAAGTACTCCTAACTATTGTAGTACTGGATTTTGCAACTAGTCAGAAGGTCACAATTGATGTTTTAAACAACTTTCTTCCTTCACTACCTTCTTCCATTAATCCATTCCATATTACGTTTGCCCTCAACTTGTTGATCTTTCATGACTGGAGATGTGACCCAGTCTTCATTTCTCAAGTGTCTGAGCCATTATGAGTCCTGTTTGTATGGGTTGCTGTAATTTTCCATTGACTTTAGTCACAGTAAGTGGAAGTACTAAGAGGCATCCCTGGGAAACACCTGCATTACAGATCCTCATTATGTGTAGCAATGCAATTTCTTCTTGATATTTAAGATCTGCCACACCAGTAAGTACTGTAGCCCCTTATTTTGCTATTTATTCAGTGGCATGAGTTCACCAAATGTCAATCTCAGCAATAAATTCAACAGAAGCATTGCTGCAACCTGTGGTGGAATCATTCAGCCGTTCAAATTAAGGCCTCTAAGTCAGCATGACTTAAGTTACAGGGATGAGAAAAGTAATTTTACTAATGGATCAGCAGGGAAATAATGAAGAGATTTAAAACCATTGTCATTTCTTGATTCTGTAACCTAGGATTCCTGGCTATTGGGGAAACAGCACCACATTTTGGACACGAACTTAGAGCATATACCAAATTACAGAGGACATGAGCCAACCCTGCAAAATGTCATCTAGCTGGCTCTGTAACTGAGTCATCAAATCCATTCCACTCTCTATTGACCAGGTGCTTCAGGTGATAGGTAACATGGTAAGGCCAGTGAATTTTATGAGTTGGCACATTGCCACACTCTGGTATGAAATCAGTTGTTGGATTAGAAGGGACTCTGCATAAAATACTGTGATAGTAGATAAGGCAGTCAGTAAATCCTCAGATGGTAGTTTTGGCACAGTTTTGCAGGCAAAATGGTAAAGTCACATTTAGAATCATTGTGTATTTTTGTGAGAACAAAACAATGCCCCTTCCATGATGGAAGTGGTCCAGTGTAATCAAGTTCAAAACATGTAGCTTGCTAGTCCTCCTGAGTAATAATGTCATATTGGAATCTTAGTTTTGGTATCTGCTGAAGCTGTAGCCAAATTGACTTTGGTGGATGGAGGTCCATGATTCTGAGCCCATTCATAAACTTCATCCTGGCTGCCATGACCACTTTCTTCATGAACCCTCAAGTAAAGACAAGAGTGTCTGAGAATGAGGCTGACTGACATCCACAGAATGCATCATCTTATCCCCTTGATTACTAAACTCTGCTGAGGTTGTTCTTTGGTGAATATTCACATGAAACCCAAATATCTTTATATTGTATGCTCATTTGCAGAGATAGCCACATATACCTCTTCCCCACATTTTTTTTATTACTTATTTTATAATCATGTCCTTTCCAATGGACTTCCAGTCAAACTGTCAACCAATGTTTATGTAGTGGGGAAATTTATACCTCTGTCCCCATGGTTTTCTCTATGCAAAATGAGCAAGGTTCTCTGGCATTCCTTTTCATTTTGGGTAAAGGTATGTCCTTCAATAAGTGGCTTTTATGTTAAGGTTAGCAACAGCAGTTACTGCTGTTTGGAGACAAGTACTATAACTGATACAGACATTGATAAGAGAAATTAGGTTTCATGCAACAAAATTTAAGGAAATCGGAGAAATTTGAAATTGATTATCTGCCCCGGTAGGACTAAAGGCAGTTAAAAAACTCCATTTGTGTTCTAGAAGGGGGATATGGCAGCCCATGAAATGAAAGAGCATATCATTTAAGTGGTTATCTGAAATGTAAAGCCTTTGGAAGGCCTGGATTTGGAAGACCTCATTGCTGCCACAGACAAGTCTGAAAAATGTAAGTAGTTAATAGATTGTGAGGTGAAGTGGATGCTTATGATGGCGCTAGAAAGCTTTTAAAAAGAAGCCTAAATTATTGCTCAGAAGCCTAATTTATTTGCTTAAGTGCTCAAGGAACATATGGAAGACAGGAATATGTAAATAGAATTTCTGGAGGGCTAAGTTAGCTAAATCCTATACTCACCATTTGATCCTGTGTATTACCAAATTATAGAATTTGTTGATTTCTCAGCTTTGATGTCACTTTTGTCAAAATTAGTCACTGAAATGGAAAGAGTAAAAATTCAAGAGTAGTAAAGTTGAGAGAGTTGAAAGAACCTCAACTCCAAATGCCAACTGAGCCTCCCTTGCCAGCAGAAGGAGTCCTACTCTGTGTCCAATGCAGCTGTTTCTACTTTGCTTAAACATCCAGTAATTTCCTGGCCTGTGATACTTAAATTGCAAGAAGAAGCCAGTTTTCTTAATGCCACAATCTCATACCTATTGTCTACAGACCTGTTAGTAGAGTAAGATCCCATCATTTCTCTCCGGACTGGGGTGGAGAATCAAATATCAGGTCAAAACAATGAGAACAATGTTTACAAACGGAAAGAACTGTTTCCAAAATAAAACTTGTGTGAAAATGATTATGAGGGTGTTCATTTAAAGAAGGAGATATATAATTTTAGATCTGATTGAATTTATTGATATGGTAAAACTTCCTAGAGAGTCTATTCAACGTGCTACTCTAGCAGCTTTACACAAGACTGAAATTATTGTGATAAATATGTTTGCAAGGAGATCTTACACCTTCTCAAACAATTGCATCTGAAGGAGAATGTATTAGCAGAAAGTAGAAATGAACAACAGTCGTGGGGAGAGATAAAGCTCAGGGAACATGGAGCCTCAGAGTTGAGGTGAGGGAGTATAAGATAACGGAAGAAAGGGAAGAGAATTATCTGTTTCTGGATCCCCACTTTATGCAGGGCACTACTACAGGAGCTTCTGGACATCACCTCTAAATTTCATTTTATACTCTCAATTGCCACATGACATGGGAATTATTATTATTTCCACTTTAGAGGTGAGAAAACTGAGGTTCAAAGATGTTAAGTAACTTGTCCCAAATTACACAGTTACAACATAGAGACATGATAGGAGTATAGGTCTAATGCCTGTGATGCCAGAGCACAGGGCAGGGGAGTCTACAAAGGGAACAGTACCTTTCTCTTATATAGGAGGTAAGTCCTGCTAGCAAAGCTCAGCTGAATCAGAAGCAGGAGAAAACAACCTGTAACGTTGTCTGACTATGCCACGAGGGCACAGGTTTGGAAATTTTCTTTTTACATAATCTATTGCTGTTTTTTCTGTAGGGACTTGCTGTAGCTGAGAGAGCAGACAATGTGTTATATTACATGGACTAACCTCACAGCCTAGAGACCTGAGGTTGTCACTCCCTTTCTTTGGGACACATGTACCAGTGACCATCACATTTGTGAGGCCTGCTCTCTTCAATATGGGCAGTGGGTGTCAGGTAGTTAGAAAGATCTCTTGGGTTCAGGACTGATATTTACTATCCAGCTCTGAAACCACAGTGCTGACTGTGGTGCTTTCCACATAGTGGGAGGTTAGTCTATGTTTTGTTAAGAAGAAATAATGGTACACAGAATCACCCTCTATCTAACCGCCAATGGCTTCCCAGTGCCCCCAAGGTAAAATCTGCACTATTTATCCTGGCTTCTAGTCTTACCATAGACTGCATTTAGTTTTAGCTAAAACTAGCCCCTCATTCCCTGTCTCCCCTCGCACTACAAATTAACACATACATTGTTAATGTAATACTGAAGCTGGAAGTATCTGGAATCAGATGCTTCACAAAATGCCACGCCCGTAGTAAATACTCAAAAGCAGGAGTTGCCATTTCTGCTGCTGCTGCTGCTGCTACTACTACTACTACTACTACTACTGGAGCTAGAAAATTTCAGAGTCAGGTTGAAATCAAGTCTCCTGGCTAAGCCCAGTTCTCTTTGTGGCCATTGCTTCTTTACATATAATCAGGACACAGTTAATACTAGACAGTGGAATCTTTAATTTCATTCTCCTTGACTTCTTCTGCATCCTCTTTTGGAGTCCTGTGACCAGGGGAGGGTACAGGGAATTTTAGTAACCAGAAGACAGGGCTTGTTTCCACCTTAGCAGACATATATGTGTGCAGCATCAGAAGTCTAGGACTGAAAGCTACCTTTAGCATCATTTCTTCTGTGAATGCATGTATAATTTCTACAGAACCTATTATAGAGGATCACTCAGCCTCTGCCTTTGTACAACTTTCCCTCAAAAAACTGCCAATCCCTGTACTGTTTGGCCCAATAGTGAGATTTTTTTCCTGCTGCCCCTTGGTGCTTTTGCCTGTGATCCTCATTCTGCCTGCTGAAGACACTCTTGCTAGCATGGACCTAAACCCCTCAAGCTCTGACAATCCTCTTTCTCTTTTGTTTTACATGAAAGGTCTGGCAGCCAAAGCAATCACTCAAAGTTCAAACCTCATCACTTTTTTTTTGCTTTGTTCCTTGTGGCCTTGACTTTGTACATCAGCTTTGAAAATATCATCCCAGAGTTAATGCTGGGTTAATTTGTAACTAAGAGTGCTCTAGTTTTGCAATACAGGACATGCTATAAAAATAGAAAGATGTTGCTTCCTGAGAGATGCAGGTGGATTCTTGGGCATTTGTTGTAAGTATCTTTTTTCTCTTGGGAATCTTTGAACATCTCTATCAACAAGTCAGAGTGCCAAATAACCAAGTCAGTAAGCCAGAGTCCCAAACCAAATTCCTGGCTCTAGGGGCAAAGTTCTAAGTGTGGTCATCTAATAATTGGCCTTCTTACCAGCCCCAGTGACTTTTAAAGAAACAGGACTCTGATGACAATGTGGAGATTCTATAGAGTGGTGAAGAAAGTGGGGGTTGGTATGGAGGGTATAGGAGACAGTGTGACCTGTTAGGAGCTGATATAATAGTTCAGGCCATAAACTGAGAGGCAGAGGTAGCAGGAATGAAGAGAAGGGAGAAGTTTTGAGAGCTATTTATGAGTTAGTATTCATAAGACTTCATGCTTCACTAGATGTGGGGACTGAGAATAAAGGGAGACTCTAAGATGATTCCCAGGTTTCTGGCTTAGGTGCCTCCATAGACAGTGATGTGATAGACTGAGATGTGGCATGAAGATAAGCGAACAAGCTTAAGGGGTAGGGAGATGATATGTTTACATCTGGCAACTTTGAGATTTTCTTATTTAGACTGAGGTCTGTGTGAACCATCCTGGTGGATATATCCAAACGGCAGCTGATTAAATGGCTACGAGCTCAGGAGAGCAATCTAACCTAGAGAGGTACAGTTTCTAGCCATCATTCCTCTATCTGGTTCTCTTGGTATTTGGGCTTCATGCCGCAGTCCACTGTGCACCACCTGAAGGCAAAGTAACTACCTGCCATTCACCCCAACAAAATGCCACTCTCTATACAATGTCGTCCATTAATACTGACTTTGCATTCAACTTGTACCGGAGTTTCCCTTTTGACCCCAGATAAGAACATCTTGTTTTCCCCTTTGAGCCTTTCTGCAGTTTTGGTTCTGCTTTCCTTTGGGTCCTGCTCCAGCACCCAAACTGAGATTATGGAAACCTTGGGGTTCAACCTCACAGACACTGCAATGTTAGAGATCCAGCAGGGCTTCCAGAACCTGATCTGTTCACTGAATTTCCCAAAGAAAGAATTGGAATTGCAGATAGGAAATGTCGTCTTCATTGGGAAGCATCTGAAACCACTGGCAAAGTTCTTGGATGATGTCAAGACCCTTTATGAGCCTGAAGTCTTTTCTACCGACTTCTCCAATGTTTCTGCAGCCAAGCAGGAGATTAACAGTCATGTGGAGATGCAAACCAAAGGGAATGTTGTGGGTCTAATTTAAGACCTCATACCACACACTATCATTATCTTAGTGAACTATATTCATTTTAAAGGTAAGACTTTCAGATGTCAATTTCCAGTCTAGGGTTCAGATACTTGGGTGGAGTGCTGAGGGGAGATCATGGTCTTTTATTACTGGCATCAGTAGGTGTCCCTCATACCACAGTGATCTTCTGCACTGGACATAGCTGTGAATAGTATTGGATCTTCCAAGATGGACACACCGCTCTGTGAATGAGTCCAGAAAATTTCTAGGGAGAGCGCCCTTTCAGAAAGTGGGTGAAAATGGTATGAACATCTTGCTCATAGTTGGCTAAAGATTTATGATTTCCAAAAGATTTGGTGAAATGAGACAAGCTTGTACTTGTCAAGTAGACATATTTGTATGTAAAGCCTACTGTGATTCGCACTTGCTGTGTACACTTAGGCATGCTACATACACACTTTTATCATGTATTATGCACTCACTGTGTACCAAATATCATCCTACATGTGTGGTATACACACACTGTCTCATCCAATTCTCATAAGTGCCCAAGTTCACACAGTTAATAAGTTTTAGAGCTGATATTCCCAGCAAGGTCTGTGTGAATCTAAAGCTGATGCTTGTAGAAACAAGAATCTTGTGACTATTTTCTAAAGGTACTGTGCTCTAATGATTTCTCCTGGTTCTATAGTGTATGTCAGCCACATTGCTTGGAGGAGTTAACAATTGTTGGCCACAAACCACACATATACAGATTGGCTAAAACAGCAGAAAAGATGTGTTGTCTCATTTCACCCTAGTGTGTTGGATATCCTCAAATCTTTTAATGGAAGAGAAAACTATGGATCTGATGGGCTTAGTGTGGTGTAGTAGTTTTCAACACAGACCATGGAGCCCAACAGCTCTGGGTGTGATTCCTGACCCTGCCACCTGTTAACTGGGAGACCATGTCAAATGATTTTCTCTGTCTGATCCTCAGTTACTTGTAAAGCAGGTTGATTTGTAAAGCTGGTACCTAACTCTATGGTGGTCTTAATTACTAGATGACATGACTAATGGAAGAGTTCTTGGTGGCACTAATATCAGTTTAAAATAAACACCTCTCTTTCTTTGTGTTTTAAGACTTTGGTTCTGCTTTCCTTTGGGTCCTGCTCCAGCACCCAAACTGAGATTATGGAAACCTTGGGGTTCAACCTCACAGACACTGCAATGTTAGAGATGGTGTGAAACAATTCTGTTTTTCACTTTCAGTACAGTATTTAATAATTTACATGAGACACCCAACACTTTATTATAAAATGGGCTTGTATTATGTGATTTTGCCCAGTTGTAAGCCAATTTGATATATGATGGAATTGGAGTAACAAATCTTTGGGGAAATGATGATTACATCTATACTGGCAGTAGAACAATAGACTCACTTATCATGTAGAAAAATTATGAGAACCTTACCTTTTGTCACATACTAGAATAAATTCATGATGGATTAGAGACTCAAATGTAAAAAGTAAACTTATAATATTCATAGCATATCTTATAAAGTAACAAATAGGGAAGGATTTTTGAAATAATAACAAAAGTAAAACACATACAGAAGAATACTGGAAAATGTAACCTCCAGAATTGACAAAATGCATCTTAAACAAAGTAAAATATAATTATAGACAAGAATAAGATATTTGCAATAAGTATACCAGGCACATGATTAGTGATATAATAAATGCCAACAAAAGCAATAAGAAAATGGCACATATCTAAGAGAAAAAAATGGCAAGAATTAGAGAAACCAGTGCTGATGGAGAAAAAATATTGCCCAATACACCTATGGAAAATGCTGGTAACTGGACCTTTCAAAGATTAATTGAAACCATATCCCTGTAGATGGGGCCTATGCACATGTGTTTATTAGTTGGTTGGTTTTTCTGCTTTGCTTTATCTTAATTTTTTCTTTCTATTGTAGTATATGATGCATACAAAATGTACACAAGTCATAAGTATTTAGCTCAATGAATTTTAACAAACAGAACATATTCATGTAACAAGCACCCAGATCAAGAAAGAGAGCCTTATCTATGCCCCAGAAGCCCCTTTCATGCCACCTGATGCTTATTAACCTCCCAAATGTAATTATCCTGATTCCTAATATCACGAATTACTTTGCCTGTTTTTAAATATTTACATAAATTATATAACATACTCTTCTGCTGTTTTTCTGCTTTCCATTCAACACTAGATGATTGCTTATAGTTACAGAGTTTTCAGTCTTATTGTTATATGGTGTTTTGTTTTATGCAAACACATTTTGTCTATCCCTTCTAATGTTGATGGATATTTACGCAATCTCTAGTTCGTGGGCTTTTATAAACAATATGTCTCTAAGCATTATTAAGCAGGTCTGCTAGTGAACAAATGTTTGCTTTCCTGATGGGTGTAAACCAAGGGATGGAATTGCTGAGTGATAGGGTATGCGTATAATCAGCTTCCATAAAAATCCCTCTATCTTTGCCTGAATCTGGATTGTTAGCATCTAGGTGCATTCTGTTTGATTGGCATTTTCCCCCTGGGAAAGCTGTTGCAAATTCAGCACGCCTTGCAAGGTTAACATATCTATCAATTTGGGTTCTTACCACTTTCCCGAGGTGCCTGTGTCTCCTAACAGGGGAAGTCTATGTTTCCTAAGACTCTCCCTGGGGAAGTCTTTGTTTCCATGGAGTCTCAGGAGGTAAAGACTTCAGAGTAGCCTTAATAGAGTATATGGAATTCCACTCTGCTTTTCAGAGACATTTCTACTTATATTTGGCCTCCATTCCTGTACAGCTTTGGAAATCAGCAAATGCCTTGAGCAGGGCTCTGGTTGTGTGATTGAGTCCCCCCATGTCTTCAAATTTGTCATTCATTTTCCTGTGAACACCAAAAGCTCACCTAGTTTATTGATTTCCCAGATGCTGCCTTTGGCTGGAACTGGCAAAATCTCCCTGGGAGTGGGGGGAACAACAAATTACAGATTCTCAGTACAACTTGGAAAGATTTTATTCTCTAGAATCTTTGTCCATTTTGTCCTCATTGCTTCTGCAGGTTTCAGATACATTTAAAATTAGATTTTAATAATCTATCTGGCTTTTCTAGGTGTTTTTATAGAAGCACTGACCTACCAGGAGCTACTCCATCTACGTGAAATGAGAAACACTTATGTGTTCTTTAAAATTTTCCAACGTTATTTGAATGTGTAGAACCCGCTGAAAACTACTGTCTTGGAGAAACATTTGCAAGTATATACTTAGAGACATATGCCAGGAAGTTCTGCAAACAACTGAAATATCCATCAATAAAGGAATGGATGACTAAATTCTATAATAGTAACATCCATATGATGGAATATTGTTTGAGCACCCAAACTGATAAATTAGAACTACATGTCTAAATATGAATATATTTCAAAAATCTCAGAAAATAATGCTACCTTTTTCCTAGAAATGGGTCCTGATCCAAATCCCAAGAAAATGTTATTGGATCTCACTCAAGAAAGAATTTGGGGTGAGTCCATAGTGCAAAGCAAAAGCAAGTTTATTAAGAAAGTAAAGGAACAAATAATGGCTACTCCATACACATAGCAGTGGCATGGGCCACTCAGCTGCTTGTACTTATTGTTACTTCTTGATTACATGCTGAACAAAGGGTGGATTATTCATGAGTTTTTTGGGAAAGGATTGGTGAATTTCCTTGAAGTTGAGGGTTCCTCCCCTTTTTAGACCATTTAGGGTAACTTCCAGACATTGCCATGGCATCTGTAAACAGTAGTGACTCTGGTGGGAGTGTCTTTTCACATGCTAATAGATTATAATTAGCATATAATAGGTAGTGAGGACAACCAGAGGTCACTTTTGTTGCCATCTTGGTTTTGGTGGGTTTTGCCGGCTTCTTTACCGCATGCTGTTTTATCAGCAAGGTCTTTATGACCTGTATATTGTGCCTACTTCTGATCTCATCCTGTGACTGAGAATGTCTAATCTCCTGGGAATGCAGCCCAACAGATCTCAGCCTCATTTTACTCAGCCCCCTATTCAAGATGGAGATGCTCTGATTCAAGTGCCTCTGACAACCTGATAAGAACCAAACTGAAGAGCAAAACAAAGTATAATACTATTTACATCACTTAGAACGCCATACAAAATAATACTTTAGTTCTGGAGCTCTCTTGTAAAATGTGGTGACTATAGTTAAGAATAATGAATTGTATACTGGAACATTGCTAAAAGAGTAAATTTTAAATGTTCTTGTCACAAAAAATGATAACTATGTGAAATGATGAATATATTAATTAGCTTGGTTGTGGTAATCATTTCGCAATGTGTGTGTGTGTGTGTGTGTGTGTGTGTGTGTGTGTCTATATATATATATATGTCAGAACATTGCATTGTATAATAAATATATATTTTTATTTGCCAATTTTAACTCAAAAATATTTTTCAAAAATAATGCCTAAATAAGTCATGAATACACATATATGAAGTAAAAGTATAAAAATGTGAACTGGAAATACATGCATCAAATTTATGTTAATGCTTACTTCTAGAGGAAGACAAGTGGTGATGCGATTGAGTAAAGGAATAAAGAGGAAGTCAACTACATCTACAATTATTTATTTCATTTTTATTTATTTCTCAAGGAGTAAAAGAAAATATAAACATTTTTTAGTACTGTGTGATTGGCATCTGGGTGCGGTTATATTATTCTCAGTACTTCTCTTCAGGCTTGAACCTTTTAAGCCTTAAGAAAGAAAACTCAGTTTAAATATAACCTTTCTGGTGAAGTGATTACTGATTCCTAAAGAAAACTCTGTAACTCTTGTCTAGCTATGCCCATAGGTTTTCCTACCTGACATTTATTGTTATAGCACTAATGACAACCTGTTTTAATAATCTATTTGCTCACATGTTGCTACTTCTATATTAAAAGTTACATGAAGAACTAACTCAAAATAAGGTGAATAATTTAGGCTGAGTGTGGTGGCTGACACCCGCAGTCCCAGCACTTTGGGAGGCCGAGGTGAGTGGATCACCTGAGGTCAGGAGTTTGGGACCAGCCTGGCCAAATGGTGAAACTCTGTCTCTACTGAAAATACAAAAATTAGCTGGGCGTGGTGGCACACGCCTGTATCCCAGCTATTTGGGAGGCTGAGGCAGGAGACGGAAGTTGCAGTGAGCTGAGATCGTGCCCCTGCACTCCAACCAGGGCAACAGAGTGAGACTCTGTCTCAAAAAGTTTTTAAATGGTGAGTAATTTAAGAGAATTAAATCAGAATAACAAGAGGTAGGGTCCAGGCATGAATACTTTTAAGCCTCCTAGGCGATTCTAAGGTGCAGCCAGGGCTAAGAACCACAGGTATTCCTGAAGAGAAGAAATTGGGTTGCCCTTGTTATCTTTTGTGTCTAACACATACTACAAGGAATGGCATAAAGCTAGTTGTTTGGCCTCTGTCATCTTAGAAGAGCACCTGTGGTACTCCTGTTAATATTAACTTACATTCATCCATTTCATAAGATAATTAAGGAACAAAAGTAAGTCCCTAGCAGCTACAGACTTGGTGAAAGCAGCATGTGCCTCTGGAAGGTCATCTTAAGTCACAGCTTCCCTCCTCGTTCCAAGGGATTACTTCCTTGAAATGTCTTGTCTGGTCCTGATCATAGGTCAGCTGATCATTGACTGCATGCTTTGCATATAGCATCTGCTTTGGAAAAGGTGATGGATTATAGCATACAAAAACAAATGTAACTGTATTTTCTGAGGCCAAATAACTTTCACATGTAGTTATTTAAAATTCCTCTTTCTTATAGTGACTATGTTGGCGAATTTTTTGTCAACTTGACTAGACTGATACTAGTTTTTTTGTTGTTATTGTTATTGTTAAATACCAGTGTAGATGTTGCTGTGAAGTTATTCTTTACATGTGATTAACATTTACATCAGTGGAATTTTAGTACAACATATTACCCCTCATAATGTGAGTGGGCCTCATCCAATCAGTTGAAGACCTTAAGAGAAAAGATTGAGGAACTCTCCTGGGTCTCTACTTTGCCAGCCCTGCTGATTTATTTCAGATTTGCTAAACTCACAATCACATAAGCCAATTCTTTAAGTATCTCTCTCTCTCTCACTCCATATATAATGCTTCTCTTGAGCAATCTGGGTTTGGGGACATCTCCCTGAAGTAGCTTTTGAAAGTTTAAAAAATGTTGCTTTATTTTCCTATAACTGCATTGAATTTTGCTCTTAACCACACAACCCTTTTAATTGCATGTCAATGTATCTAGTCACGTCAAGGCAAAGTTAGTCACTTATGAACTTTTCCTTTCTCTTTTGGGTGATACATTACCATGTTCAAGCATTTCTCTCACCTGTTTCCTACTTCCCAACCCTCACAATGATTTTTTTTAACATAACAGCTTTATTGAGATATAATTTGTATACCATGTAATTTTCTCATTTGAAGTATATAATTCAGTGTTTTAATATATTCACAGAGATGTGCAACCTTCATTACAATCAATTTTAGAATATTGCCATTGCCTCACCTGGAAATGAAAAACTTAGTATAACAAACAGCTAAGTTTCAGCCAATCACAAACAAGTATTAATAGGATTCAGCCAATTGCAGCAGCCAATTCATTGTAACACGTCCAAATAAGGCAGATGCTCTGGTGTGGTCCATCAGGTGGCTTCTTTGCTTTGCTTGCCTGTTTAGCCTTTAAAACCTCTGCCCAAACTTCTGGACAGGTGTCTCTGAACCTTTTCTGGTTCTGAGTGCTGCCAAATTCATGAATTGTTTTTTGCTCAAATAAACTGTTAATTTGTCTAAAATTTTTTTGCTAACAGTAATATTGGGAGAATTGAACTCACTACAAAAATGTCTAGCATATGTTCTGTTTAGCTCCTAAAAATAAGATTGACATTTCATTTAAACTTATCAACTAATACAACTCCAAAACACAAATGCCCTAATCATTCTCTAGTAGCTGTTCTCCAAGAACAGAGGTGAGTTTTTAATGAAAGTGATTTAATTCTTCTTCACAACATCCCTGGGGATGGCACGGGGAAGCCTTAAAAAAGTCAGGTTTTATTGAAAACAGTATCTGAAAAAATAGAATTGAGATACACTAATACTCCTCTGAGCACCAAAAACTCCTAGATGTGAGAGATCTTGCTTAGTCAACCCTAATTTGGGACAAGAGTTTGCATTTGATCACATCCAGTGATGACATGTACTTTTATCCTTTTCCAAGCTCTTTTCAAGGATCAGCATATCTGATCCTGAAAGCATCCCCGGAGGCCCACTTTACTGTCATGTTACAGATGAAGAAACAGCCCAGAGGAGCCAGCGGACTGAGGACCCAAACCCTCTTTCCATGCTCCACACAGATCTGTAAAGCGAGTGACCTTGACCCAAAGTCTGCCATCCACACCGTTCCAGACCCCAAAGACTGATCTGCTCTTTATTTTCACACCGATTGGAGACTTTATTTCATTTGCCCATGGTAGTAGTTCTCTTTCTTTCTTTTTTTCCCATTTATTTATTTTATTGCATTTTAGGTTTTGGGGTACATGTGAAGAACATGCAAGATTGTTGCATAGGTACACACGTGGCAGTGTGATTTGCTGCCTTCCTCCCCATCACTTACATCTGGCATTTCTCCCCTTGCTATTTCTCCCCAGCTCCCCACCCCACACCGTCCCTCACCTATTTCCCCCCAACTGACCCCAGTGTGTAGTGTTCCTCTCCCTGTGTCCATGTGTTCTCATTGTTCAACACCCGCCTATGAGTGAGAACATGCGGTGTTTGATCTTCTGCTCTTCTGTCAGTTTGCTGAGAATGATGGTTTCCAGGTTCATCCGTGTCCCTCAAAGGACCCAAACCCATCGTTTTTGATGGCTGCATAATATTCCATGGTGTATATGTGCCACATTTTCCCTATCCAGTCTATCGTCGATGGGCATTTGGGTTGGTTCCAGGTCTTTGCTGTTGTAAACAGTGCTGCAATGAACATTCGTGTGCACGTGTCCTTATAGTAGAATGATTTGTAATCCTTTGGATATATACCCAGTAATGGGATTGCTGGGTCAAATGGAATTTCTATTTCTAGGTTCTTGAGGAATCGCCACACTGTCTTCCACAATGGTTGAACTAATTTACACTCCCAACAGTGCAAAAGTGTTCCTATTTCTCCACATCCTCTCCAGCATCTGTTGTCTCCAGATTTTCTAATGATCGCCATTCTAACTGGCGTGAGATGGTATCTCAATGTAGTTTTGATTTGCATTTCTCTGATGACCAGTGATGATGAGCAATTTTTCATATGTTTGTTGGCCTCATGTATGTCTTCTTTTGTAAACTGTCTGTTCATATCCTTTGCCCACTTTTGAATGGGCTTGTTAGTTTTTTCCTTGTACATCTGTTTTAGTTCTTTGTAAATTTTGGATATCAGCCCTTTGTCAGATGGGTAAACTGCGAAAATTTTTTTCCCATTCTGTTGGTTGCCGATTCCCTCTAATGACTGTTTCTTTTGCTGTGCAGAAGCTGTGGAGTTTGATTAGGTCTCATTTGTCTATTTTGGCTTTTGTTGTCAATACTTTTGGTGTTTTGGCCATGAAGTCCTTGCCTACACCTACGTCCTGAATGGTTTTGCCTAGATTTTCTTCTAGGGTTTTTATGGTGTTAGGTCTTATGTTTAAGTCTTTAATCCATCTGGAGTTAATTTTAGTGTAAGGTGTCAGGAAGGGGTCCAGTTTCTGCTTTCTGCACATGGCTAGCCAGCTTTCCCAACACCATTTATTGAACAGGGAATCCTTTCCCCATTGCTTGTTTTTGTCTGGTTTGTCAAAGATCAGATGGTTGTAGATATGTCATGTTGCCTCCGAGACCTCTGTTCTGTTCCATTGGTCTATATCTCTGTTTTGGTACCAGGACCATGCTGTTTTGATTACTGTAGCCTTGTAGTATAGTTTGAAGTCCGGTAGTGTGATGCCTCCCACTTTGTTCTTTTTGCTTAGAATTGACTTGGCTATGCGGGCTCTCTTTTGGTTCCATATGAAGTTTAAGGTGATTTTTTCCAGTTCTGCGAAGAAGGTCATTGGTAACTTGATGGGGATAGCATTGAATCTGTAAATTACTTTGGGCAGTATGGCCATTTTCATGATATTGATTCTTCCTAAGCATGAACATGGAATGTTTCTCCATCTGTTTGTGTCCTCTCTTATTTCATTGAGCAGTGGCTTGTAGTTCTCCTTGAAGAGGTCCTTTATGTTCCTTGTTAGTTGTATTCCTACGTATTTTATTCTCTTTGTGGCAATTGTGAATGGAAGTTTGTTCTTATTTGGCTCTGTTTAAGTCTGTTATTGGTGCATAGGGATGCATGTGATTTTTGCACATTGATTTTGTATCCTGAGACTTTGCTGAACTTGCTTATCAGTTTCAGGAGATTTGGGGCTGAGATGATGGGGTCTTCTAGAGACCAACATCATCCTGATTCCAAAACCTGGCAGAGACTCAACAAGAAAAGAAAACTTCAGGCCAATATTCATGATGAACATAGATGCAAAAATCTTCAATAAAATACTGACAAGCTGATTGCAACAGCACATCAAAAAGCTTATCCACCATGATCAAGTAGACTTCATCCCGGGGATGCAAGGCTGGTTCAACATACGCAAGTCTATAAACGTAATTCACCACATAAACAGAACCAAAGACAAAAACCACATGATTATCTCAATTGATGCAGAGAAGGCCTTTGACAAATTTCAACAGCCCTTTATGCTAAAAACCCTCAATAAGCTAGGTATTGATGGAACATATCTCAAAATAATAAAGGCTATTTATGACAAACCAACAGCCAATATCATACTGAATGGGCAAAAACTGGAAGCATTCCCCTTGAAATGCGGCACCAGACAAGGATGCCCTCTCTCACCACTGCTATTCAATATAGTATTAGAAGTTCTAGCCAGAGCAATCAGGCAAGAAAAAGAAATAAAGGGCATTCAAATAGGAAAGGAGGAAGTCAAATTGTCTCTATTTGCACACAATGATTTAAGTAACATAGAAGGAGCCTTGTTATCAGGGGAGAGGCTTATTGTTCAAGGTGGGTAGCCTCTGTCCACATTGACTTCTGCTGCTATTTTTTTTCCATGCTGGCCACTACTCATTCCTACTGGCGTTGGCTCAGTTGGTTCCTGTCCTACCACGACCTTTAATTCATAGAAGCCCACTTATTGCATTGTCTTGATGCCAATATCAAGTTCTTTTTCAATACTCTGGCTCTCCTTCAACCTTTTAGGAACCCCTTCCCCTAGAGACTTGAAGACTAAGAGCTGTTGTCCACATGTCACAAAGGGATGCAAGAATTTTTATGAGGCATGAGGAAATGGGAGGACATGTTCAAAACACCAAAAGACAAAAAGGTTAACAAAGAATTTTATATCCAAAAAAAAATCCTTCAAAGTGAAGTAAAAATTAAGATACTACCAGAGGAACAACAACAACAGAAAACACGTGAGGGAGTTTGTTGTTAGTAGACCTCCCATATAAGAAATGGAAAAGAGGTCAGGTTGAATTAAAAAAGAATCAGGGAGTACCCAAATCCACATGAAGAAATTAAGAACTATATTAAAGTTAACCACAAAGGAAAATTAAAAATTCAATATTAACGTATTTTTGATTTGTAACTCTTGTTTTCCTATATGATTTAAAAGAAAACTGCATAAATCAATATTTATGAATCTATGGTGATGGGCACACAGTGTATAAAATAAAGATGCAACATGTGGCAATAACATTACAAAGCAGGAGACACAGCTACATAGAAATTTTTTCAAAAATATATAAGTATGTTGATATTAACCCAAACTAGATAGTTGTAAATTAAGATGTTAATTGTAGTCCCAACAACCACTAAGAAAATAATTAATACATATGGAGTAAAGCAAATTAGCAGATAATTAAAATGATGCACTAGAATATATCCATTATGAAAAAAAAACTCATCAAAAAAAAAAAAAGAAAGAAAAAAGAAAAAAAGCTCATCATCACTGGTCATTAGAGAAATGCAAATCAAAACAACATTGAGATACCATCTCATGCCAGTTAGAATGTCAATCATTAAAAAATCTGGAGACAACAGATGCTGGAGAGGATGTGGAGAAATAGGACCATTTTTACACGGTTGGTGGGAGTGTAAATTAGTTCAAGCATTGTGGACAACAGTATGGTGATTTCTTAAGTATCTAGAAATAGAAATATCATTTAACCCAGCAATTCCATTACTGAGTATATACCCAAAGGATTCTAAATCATTCTATTATAAAGACACATGCACACGTATGTTTATTGCTGCACTGTTCACAATAGCAAAGACTTGAAACCAACCCAAATGCCCATCAATGATAGACTGGATAAAGAAAATTTTGTCTAGCTCTTTCATTCAATTATGAATGAGCTAGACAAAAGATCAGTAAGGAAATAGAAAATTTTGATAACACTGTAAAGCAGCTAGCACTAACAGACATATATAGAACACACCACGCATATACACAATGTAATACTATACAGCCATAAAAAAGGACGAGTCCATGTCCTTTGCAAGGACATGGATGAAGCTGGAAACCATAATTCTCTGCAAACTGACACAAGAACAGAAAACCAAACACTACATGTTCTCACTCATAAGTGGGTGTTGAACAATGAGATCACATGGACACAGGAAGGGGAACATCACACACTTGGGCCTGTTGCGGGGGTGGCAGTTGTAGGGGATGGATAGCAGTGGGTGGAAGATTTTGGGAGGGATAACATTAGGAGAAATACCTAATGTAGATGACACGGGGATGGATGCAGCAAACCACCATCGCAAGTGTATACCTATGTAACAAACCTGCACATTCTGCACATGTACTCCAGAACTTAAAGTATAATAAATAAATAAATAGCTATAAGACATAAAAATGGCATAATGGCAGATTTTATTTCTTATTAGTTATTACTTTATATAAATTGATTAAAATCTAGAATTAAAAAGTAGAGATGGACAGAATGGGCAAAAAATCTCAAGCATTCCTTATGTCTACAAAAGACATAGATTCAAATACACACGTAATTTGAAAGTAAAAGGATGGAAAAAACATTTCGTGTGAATAGTAACCTGAAGAGAGTGAGCATGACTATATTATTATTAGATAAGTTAGACTTTAAAACGAAAGTTATTGCAAGAGAAAAAGGAGATGATATAATGACAAATTGTCACTGCATCAAGAAAGTGTATATATATATAAGTGTATATATATACACTTAACAAAAGAGCTCAAAATATATGAGACAGAAAGAGAACTGGAGGAAGAAATAAACAAGTCAACAATAATTTTTAATAATCTACCT